TAACAATACAATCATTAAAATGCATTCGAAGAACTTGTTCATCATGTAGAAAACCATCCAATTTTGTATACAGAGTAATTAATCAACAATAATAGTTAGTGAGGATTGAAATTAGAAAAAAGAAGGTAAAAAATAAGACTTGCTGTTGCAAAATTTTCTTATTCCTTTTCACAACTTACAACTTGAAAGGGAAAAAAGAAGTTGATTTAGGCAGACTATCAAAAGGAAAACCTCACATAATATTGACATGCATGTAAAAAACTTTACACTAAATTCATCATCAAATAATCCATCCATCCTAAAAAAGTATTTAAATGTTTTGTTACACAAATTTCATTACCGATTCACCCTATTTCCATTTCCAAAATTGAGTATCAAATTTCATTATCAATAAAAAGAGAAAATTAAAAATAAGAAACAGAGACGCAGAAAAGATGGTGAAAAAACTCGCAAAATTCAATCTTAAAAGCTTCTGAGTTGAAGATGAAAATTCATGAGCGTTTTGAGCATATGTATATTTGTATTGTACAATACATGAATTATTATCCTTCCACGTGTACAAGAGCCAATCAAATAGGGCCAAAAATTATGACGCCTTAATAGTATAAATTGAAATGCTTTTGGTACAACTTTTTGGAGCTATGTTCGTCCAACTAAAGTCCTACTTCTATATAAGGGAGATCTACTAACCTCATTGCTAGATAATCTTCATACTTGAAAAGCTTAATTGAAAACTAAGTCATAGAATTTATTTTTTCCACTGAAGTGTGTTCCCCATACTCTCGAAGTTAACTAGAGTATGTTATAAGTAGGTGTGCGTTCAGTTTGATTTTATGTACTATCAGTTTTTAATTTTTGAATACATTTTATCAATAATCAAATCAATAAGATAATTTTTATTGCGCGATTATAAAAAATCTCATTAAAAAGTAAATATATTTTTAAAATTTAATGTTACATTTTGATTTTATGTACTATCCTGCTTCTTAAAAAACAAATGTTTTATTTTTTGAAAAATGCTTACACAATAGTATATGTGTAAATGCTTTTGATTGAAATTCTTTTTCTCACAAGTTGCAATTGGCAAATAATGTGATTCTTTCTGTATAGTCAGAAAAGGAAAAAAAAAAGCATTTTTACCATATATACCTCAATTTTTTTTTTAGAAAAAAAGATATTTGTAAGAACAAATAATTATAATGGATGTCAATGAAGGCGATTTTTGACAAGTACTTCCAGTTGTTGTTTCACAATCTACTGTCAGTTTAACGAAATCTTATTTGTGGTCTTTAATAGATTATAGATAAAAGACATTTTATATTAAATATGTGAGCAAGAACAGATTCCAAGAGTGATACTTACCAAGGAAAGATTAATTCCATCACTATAAAAATCCAAATTTAGCAACTTTATAAGGGAAAGCGCGAAGTTAGCAAACCAAAGTAAATAGGTAGATAAATTAAATGAGATAGATAAATTTTATCTAACTCATAAATAATTTATCGCGCGCGTTTAACAACTCCATTGAAAAGAAAGACGGCACAATCTGCTGGCAATTATGTATTTTGTTTCATGAATTCAAATGAAGGATATCCTTTCAAATTTATTCGTAAACAATTCCCAGTTTGGCTATACAAACAATCCCAAATGTTTAACTAATTATAACTCTGCCAAACACATCCTTGTTGCCAAAACTTCCTTGAGAAGAATATATCAGTAGAATTAGGTATTTACAACTCAAAATTTCTGCAACAAAAATGCTTCTAAAGCCTCAAATCGCAGAAAAAGAGCTCAAGTTCATCAAATCCAATGAAAGATTCGAACTTGACTGAAGTCCTGCCACCTGAACTCATAACTGAAATCCTTTTGAGGGTTCCCATAAAATCCCTCTTAAAATTCAGGTCTGTATCGAAATTTTGGCTTGGTTTAATCTATAGCCGTCAATTTATCAAGAACCATCTCAATTTATCAGCTAATAACCAGCATGTTGTCACGGACTTAGAGTATTTGCTAAGACTCCGTGCGGCACTCGACAACTTCAAGCTTGAAAGATTTGCTTACAACTTTTGTTGGATTGTTGGATGATTTACAAATGAGAGACTCTTCTATTTGTCCCAGCTTCCTAAGGGCCTAACTGTAAATAAAAATTACTCTACAAGTCCTTCTAATAATTACACTTTAGTCCATATTCTAGAGAATTCTACACTTTCTAGTATATGTTAAACTCTTCCAAAAAGGTCTAAAGTATTCTAGGGAATTCTAAGGAATTCTCTAGTCTTCTTGATTAATCTAGAAGGTTCTAGAGTTCTCCGCAAACCTCTCCACAACTCTAGCCCCTTCCACCTCTTCCGGATGCAAAATTTAACTAGGATGTAGCGGGACGTGACAATGTGCTTACTTATATTCAGAATAGTACAGATCTTAAGTGGAATTTCAAAGAATGTCTTTTTAGGTCTTTATTTGATGACTCTGTTACTCAGGCTTTTGACTTGAAGTATCCCATTGAAGAAGACAACAGTAAACTTATTGATATTTTGGGTTCTTGCAATGGGTTATTTAGGATGTTTGCTTTTATGGAATCCAACAACTAGAATGCATACAAAATTGCCTAATCCTAGACCTAGATGGAAGTACTACTATGACTTTTATGGTTTTGGATATGATGAGGTTCGTGATGATTATAACGTAGTGGGTATTTTTTTTATATATCAGGTCGTTCACATGGGCGTGAGGTCAAAGTATATAATCTAAAAAGTAATTCTTGGACTAATATTTTGACTATTGTGATGAGGAGATATTAGATATTGCAGACTCCGGTAGAACAATTAGATTAAGAGATTCTGGTTTTTTTGCTAATGGGAAGCTTCATTGGGCTACGATTACTTTTAGTCCTAATTTCGATGATGTGCGTAAGTGCACGAGAATTATTTGTTTTGATTTAGCTAATGACAAATGGGAAAAGGTGGAGAAGCCCTCCTCTGGAGTAGGAGAGACTGATATGTGTATGGGAATGCTGGAAAGTGATCTTTGTTTTTTTCGAGATTACAACAAATCTCAGTTTGGTGTTTGGGTTATGAATGGATACGGGGTTAAAGAGTCTTGGATAAAGAAGTTTACCATCACGTATCCAATTATGAAAGATTTATGTACACCTCTGTTCATGTCAAATAAAGGTGGAATGCAGTGGTGTTAAGAACAATTACTTCCATTATGTACAATTCAAAAGATGACTGCATTCAGATATCCACATGTTATTAACTGCAATGACTCCCATGGAATGGCAATACACTTCGAAAGCTTAGTTTGTCCTTTTTCAACTGAAGTGACAGAGAAAGCAACGCGGAAAAGCCTCATTGAGAAACAAATAATTTGTAAGAGTACTTTCTTCTCAACTTCTTTAAATTTTTGTTTGATATTTCAAATATAGAACAAGTCCTTGCTGCTAATCGCTAAATCTTGCTATTAGCAGCTAGGGGAACACCAAAACTAGTCCAAAAAAATATAGAGTTTAAAGATATAGGAGTATTTGAAATAACAAAGAAATTTTAAAACTCGTGAGAGCAAAATACTCTTACAAGTTATGAGCTTTTTCTGCATTCTCTGGTCCCTTGGGTTGGAAAAGGGCAAACTAGGCTTTCAAGTTAGAATTGAGCATATTTACCGCCACGACAGTTAGTAATATTTTTATATCTTAATGATTCACCTTTGGAATCGTATATCATGGAAGTTGCTCCAAATTAACACCATTAATTTTTCACCTTTAATTGAGACGAAAAAGGTTGGACACCAGTTTGGATTAGTTGGATGCGTGATGGTAACCATCTTTATCCAAGGTTCTATAATACCATACTCCTTCATAACCCAAGCAACTAAATGAGTTGTCTTATAATCAGTAAAAACACATACATCACTTCCCAACGTTCCCACGTGTATTTCAGTCTCTCAGCTGAGAAAAGGAAAAACTAAGCTTTCAATGTAGAATTCCACGTCAAGATAGCCTTCATGGTTAGTAAGATTTGTATATCGTCATCTTTTGAATCATATATCATGAATCTTGATTGAATCAAGAAATCCGTTTCACCTTTATTTGACATGAAAATGAGTGGATGCAAGCCACTTTGGTCATTTGGATACTCGATGGTTAACGACTTTATCTAAGATTCATTAACTCTATACTCCTTAGTAACCCATACATCTATATGAGTTTCATTGTAATCACAAAAGACACAAAGATCACTTTCCAACGTTCCGAGACAATTCAGTCTCTCCTACTATATACGAAGGCTTCTCCATTTTATCCCATTTCTTGTTAGCTAAATCAAAAGAAATGATGTTCTTGCTCACATGCTAATGAAAATATCCCATCCACAAACAAGCCTGAACGCTCTTCAGACTATGAACTTTGACCTCAATATCATTTAAATCACTATAAATATAAATTAATATAATTATAAAAAGTACCCACTACTTTGTAATCATCATTTTTCATTAATAACATTGCTTTATACAATTTTCACAAACTTTTAATTAATGAAATTAATTCAATTATAACTTTTATAATAACTCAAATTTGTTTAACAATTCAATATAATACATTATCATATTACTCAAATTTCGTTGAAACAACTCCTCTCAATCCCAGTTGATTACTAGCCTGCCAAAGTCAATCAATTTGAGTTCAAAATATTATCTCAAACCGTGATTTCAATAAAAATATTTGAACTTAAAGCAAAACGTAACTTACCTTTAATTAATATATATGAATCCCAATCATATGAAACTTCAAATACTCTTATCAATGTCTAAATTCATTTTGAAAATGATAAAAGAGTTGCAATTTTTATTTTATTTTGTACTATATAAATATGAATTAAATGATCAAATTTGACATTTTATTTTTTATTTAATTAAAAACATGTTAACAGTTTACAAATCAACCCCTTCTAATTTTTTATATTTTCACTTTGACCCCTTAATTTAAGAACTTTTTCCTTGACAGATACCAAATTTCCCTTCTTCTCACTCTCCATTTTTAGAACTCCAGTAATACAAATAGGGTTTCAAAATTGAATTCTCCGAAACCCTAATCGGTCTTTTATGAACGTCGACGACGAGTTTTTCATGACTTATGAATGGATATTAGTTTTTTCTCCGGCGCCGTCACGTTAATCTGTTGTTTTTTCGCCGTCGCTGCCGCTTGTTTGACTCACCGATCAAAATCGGTGCGGACGAAGGGCGGAGAGGATTCCTGCAACTGTGCTTGTTCGCATGGTAGTTGTGGAGGAGGACGTTTTGATAAGACTTCGGTTTTGAACGGAGGGAGTAGTGGTAGTAGTGTTTTTGGTGGTTTTGAGGAAGAAATGGTTGAGAAAGTGTCTGTGACAGTGGCTGCGGAGAAACTGACAGGGGCGTCGATGATGGAGCAGCTTGTTCCTGAAATTACGACGCATGCGTTGAGCTATTTGGATTATCCGAGTCTTTGTAGGCTTTCGATGACGAATTCGCTTATGAGGAAGGCTGCAAATGATGATAATGCATGGAAAGCTCTCTATCACAAGGTATGCCTCTAAAAGTTACATGAAGATGTAGTTTTTTTTTCAATTATTAGTGCTATCTGCATTCCATATAACATATCAATTGTATTTGACTGGATATGCTTAAAATGTTATATTTAGATTATATACTAGTGTTGTATTAGTGATAGTGGAAGAAAATTATTAATACGACAGTTAATAGTTAATAAATGTTAAATGAAAGTTGAATAGCTAGCTTAATAGAGTGAAAACCCGAGGGAAAGACTTAGATAGTCCTTTTAAATATGGATATAGTGGTATCTTTTGTTTATGTATACTACTAAATGTAAAACATCCTCTTAACGGAGTTACAAAAACTAACGGAAAAAGCCTAAAGTCTACAACGGCAATGGTTAAAGTAAACAAAAGAACCACCGATGTAAGAGAAGTTGTGTTTGCAGTCCATAATGAAGAATTACTGCTACCAAAACTCACCTTTCAGAAAATTCATTAAATGTAAAAGGCCAAAATGCATAACAAATTTGGGATTCTAATGAAAGGTCCCACTTCTTGGATTACATAAATGTCAAACTAATTCTCGGAGGTTAAAGATTTAACCTTTAATTTTTTCCCCAAATCTTTTGCACTTATAAATGAAGAAAAACATAAAACATAAAAGGGTTAAAAAAAAAAAGTAAATAATTTAGAACTCCACACTTACAGGTATCTCCTCTTCCGCCATTTTCTCAGAAAATCCCCAGAAGAAGAAGAAAAATCTATTGCAGAAATTATCATTTGAACATTAGGCATAATATTATTCTTGAAATTTGTAAGAACAAAAAGATACCATTCTCTCTTCTCATAATCAAATTTCCGTTTACGTCTTCCGCATTGCCACTCGTAATCAATATGAAAACATAGATGTCACCATGAAAAAACAACAAACAGCAGAAAAACCTAACAACCTGTTTTTTGCTAGTTTTAGCAACTCTGTTTAGAGGGAGACCAAAACTGACCTTCAAGATTTGTGTGCGCATTTAAGGGGACATGGGAATGTGGTTGTGAGGATTGGGTTTAAACTTCTCCTAGGAGGAAGGGCATTAAGTTTGACTTTTAGGAAGCCCTATCATCCTGTTTCCTGCTAATTTCCAATATTGCAAATGTTTCCTTTTACTTATAGATGAATAATCAGCTTTTATGGTACTCCGCGTCTTCCATCAGTCTAGAGAATACGGGTCTCTCAAGGGGTCGGGAACACTGTTAGCTGGATTCCAAATCAAAGAATGCAGACATGGGAACTAAATAGATAGCTTGGGGCACGGGAGCTTCCCTTAAGAGAAGCGTTCATTCATATGGCAGATGCATCAAAAGATTTTTTGAGCCTAGTGCACCTATAATTGTTATTATTATATATATTATTATTATTATTATTTTATATGAAAAAGTAGCTTAGTACAGGATCAACAGGTGCCATCTGTTTAGTCCTTTTTGTTGTCTCAAGAACACTGAAGCTATGATTCATCCATCATTGTCTTTTATTATGGGCTAAATGTTTTACTTTCTCCTTCCCAACAATACGGAATTTTGAAGTAAAAAACTGCTTAAAGTTAATACTCTGAAGTTTAAGTGTTAGAATTGCTAAATAGTTGTGCCAAATTAAGGATGTAACGCTTATTTCATGCATCACATATTAGTCAGTTCTTCCTACCGGCATTTTGTATGCTTAGAATTCGGGGTGCATACCCTCTGGTATACCATGTACCCCAAATTGAACACTCCTCTTCTATATGGCATACCTACCATGTAGAAATTTTAAAAATACACTCTTTTTCATAAGCAAATTAGATGCACCAGACTCCAGAGAGGGGAATTTCATGGTAACCAATCACAAGAGTGGGTTGGGGAGATTCCGTGGTATATACGGAGTACAGTAGAGTCGCTCCAAAGAGTGCTTAACAAGTGGACACTGCACATTGACAATCAATATAAGGGAAACATATTCAACAAGTATACAAAGAGCTCAACATTCAATACTCAGTGTTAACTGCACGTGAAGGGTATAGAAGGACAGTAAACTCCAGTGTTTCTTTGTGATACACATGTATAAAATATGTGAAAGAGCTCAACCTTTTTGATAAAGATGTTATAGAGCTTTCCCTTTGTCAAAAGTGAACATTAATAGAGCTATTTGTCCACAGGAATAACACGGAAATTTTCCTTGGGGGTGGCGTAGTAGTGTGGACATGAGAGTATCAACTTGGAAATTCTAAATCAGAGTCCCAGCCTATCTGCTCCAGCCTTGGTGAGCAGGATTACGTTGTGAACCTTTGCTTGTGGGATACCTTGGCAAGATTAGTCAAGGTGTGTTCTAGTCAAGAAGAACAACAACACCACAATCAAAAAGAAATATGAGAATTGTTTTACTTCTGTTTGCTACATCATTTTTTAATTGATTTTGATTTGCTTGGAAACTGGGAGGAAAGAAACAGAAGCTGAAAGGAGTTTACCACATAAAAGTATACCTTGTAGAATGCCCTTTCTGTATCAGACAAGTATGTCTATCAGCTAATGATGTGTATTTTAGATCAACGATTCTGAGCCCCAATATTTTTCCATCTTCAGGAAAAATAAAAGGTGCAACAATCCCTCTTACTTTTCTTTGTGGACCATGTACTTTCTTGTTCTACATGCATTTTGGATGTTGCATACATGACTTGAAATGTCTGTGTAGTGATTGCCTTTTGTTTTCTCCTCATCTCTTAGGATTTCACATTGGAGCAGGATTCTCTGTCTCCAATTAATGGATGGAAGGCTTACTATGCAGCTACAAGAGCCATTATGAATGTCAATGCTGATTTTTTTAATATTATTAGAGAGAGATCAGTTCCAGCTATGGAACGTTTTTGGCTCAATGCAGATTACGTGAAGTGTTTTCATGCCTCTGGAGAGTGCTTTACGGGGTATGAGTTTTTCCATCCTCCATGGGGGATCATCTTTTGAGCTTTTCTACTCTATATCTTTGCACCTTGCATGTCTGTCGTCTTGTTCTCCCTTTCAAACCTCTATTTTTTTTTGTGATTAAATTCTCTATAATATTTTCATATGACAAACTTGTGATGCCCCCCCACCGCCACCCCCACCCCCGGAACAACCAAGTCTCTCGACTTTGGTTCCTCTGGGCATTGCGTCTTTTGTTGTCCACTTTTAGGAGGTTTTTGTATGGTCTTTTTCTTTTTTATTTGCATAAAGGTTGAGTTCTTGTTGGTTAGTTTGGCTGGAAACCTACTTTTACATATCTTATCAAAATTTCTACTTCTATATATTTGAAAAAAAAGAGAACATACCCCTCCTCCTAGGGTATAAATAAATGCACTGAATTAGCTTCAAACTTATTGTGTTATTTTTTTTTGAGTACAACAAATCCCCCCCCCCCCCACCCCCCCGCTGAACTTGGCGCTAAAACTTACTGAAGTACTTGACAATTTTGAAGTGATTAAATGTCACCCTAAGAGATGCAAAGTAAGTAAAAGCACGTGAAATAGTTTTTTTAAAAAATTGAATGGTTTATATCATACACATGACCTTTTTTTATTGGCCAAAATTTAACTAATAGTTTTAAATTTTTCTATAAGTTAATTTATTAATAAATGTGAAATTTCTTGTTTAAAGGTAAATGAAATTTGTGGGTTCAATTTTTTTTAAGAAAATAAATAATCATTTTGTTTTCTCTTTATTTTGTTGTCTTCCCCATTTAAGCACTTCTTATACCTTTCTTCTTCCATATAAGTCATTTTTCCAACAAGTTCATCTCTCACCTCACTAGTCATTCATCAATCCACAAAACCCAACATCTAATTGAAAGTAAATTCCTTGAATTTTAAGTGACCCATTTTGAATTCTATATGAAAAAAAGTGGGTCTATCAACTTTCTTATAGAACCTTCTTTTTTCATTTGAGTTGTTAAAAAAAATACTTTCAAAAAATATCATTCTCCAATGATAGATTTGTAGGAGAGGGTTCGAAGAAGAAAAAGTATAAATGCACTTTTTTTTTAAAAAAAAAATGATGAATGTTGAAGAAAAGAACAAATATTGAAGGCCGAAAGTGGTTGGGAAAAAAGAAGAAGCCAATGAAGGCTGAAAATGGTGAAAAGAAAAGGGGGGGGGGGGCAGTGGAGTGGAAGAAGGGGGGGTAATTTTGATTTTAAAATGCATTTTAAATTTATTGATAAGTGTAATGTATTTTAAAAAATGTTTAAAAAAAGGGTGAATAAGAAAAAAAAAGACTAAAAATTAATGATGTAGTGCTCACATGGTAGTGACGTGGCGCTTACATGGCTATGATGTGGCAGGTGAGAATGGTATTCACTTCAAAGATGTTAAGGGGGGTATTTTATCACCTGTGCAGTTTAAGTGCTAAAGTAAGTTGTGTTGCCAAGTTTAGGGGGATTTGATGTATTTTCTCGTTCTTTTTTCATATTTGTTTTTGTGTGTAGCTTCTATCTATGTTGTTGGTGTGAGGGTTTCCATATGTTTTATATCATTAAGGTCTTGGATAGATGCTTGGATTCTTGCACATGGTAATTTGAGTCAAACTTAGTGAGCCTGATACCACAATTTTTCTTTACTTGTATTTAGGCTTCTTTCCCACAATTAGTCCTCAATACCATTAACTTTGTTTTAGCCAGTCTTTGCGTGTTGATCCTTCTCGTTCTATCCCAAGCACGCTCTTCCACCCATTAGTTAACCTACTCTTGAGGCTCATTCTTCAGCTTGTCAAGCTACTTCAATTTTGTAAAAAGAATAAGAAGACAAGGTGAAAAAGAACTGTCCAAACACACATCTAACCCTGCAATTGGATTAGCCATACGGGAGGGTATTAGAAAATATATCTGCCTGATGCCTTTCTGTTCCCCTCCCCCCCCCCCTCTAATTAGCTTGTTCTAATTTGATATTGGTTTGTTCTACTAAGATGCTACCGTCATCATAGCAATTGCAAAGTCTTTAAGTATTGGCAGCTCTCTCTAATGCAAGTTCACTAGAGTAATTGAATGTTTTTTTGTGACATGTTTACTTCCCATGTCCTTGTATCGTCCAACGCGTCTAGAATTTATTCGCCAATGCAGTTATAATGCAATTTACTGACTAGTATGTTTTAGCGTGAGACATATTTCATTTTTATGTGTTTACATATCGTTGAACACACATGTTGAGTTGCGTATCTGGCAATGCAGTCACAATGCAGTCATTGGTAGCTGGCAACTGGCTTTTAACTGGGAGCAGAATGTTGATTTTGAAATTAGAGACGTGAAGGCAAGAGTGATGACAGATTCGGCTTGGGTGACTATGAAAGCTTATCTTAATATGGGATCAGGTACCGTGACTAACGTGTTTGAACTCCATAATGGGAGATGGTACATGGTCCATCATCACTGCTCAGTGATGCTCATTCATGGAGGTGCTGGGCAACAAGCTGTGCAGGGATAGGATTAAAGAAGACAAACTGTGAAGAAGATTGATTATTCTTTTGAAAATTGGAAAGTGGTATAGAGATCGTTTATAGTAGAATTGACTTCCCCGGGAATCTCCATAAAATTATTTTTATGTAGTTCCTGCTTCCTTTTTCCATCGTTTGATAGTTAGATATCACTAGTTTCTTGCCATTGAATTTTTGGCTTTGCTAATTTTCTTGGCAATACACATGCACAGTTTGACAAAGTGAAAATGTCCAAAATGTTTTTGGTCTGTCTTGTATCAGAAGGTACGCGTAATCCTATCGTCAAGAGTTCTTGACTATTGCATCAGATAACAGGTTCATCTTCTAAGTATTTTTCCGGATTAACGACCCTAAAGGAGTACCAAAATGAAAACTATATGTCATCTTTAATCTTCACATAAAATACAAAAGTAACTACATAATTTTCTTGTGTAGCAAAGAACGTGGTACAAATGCTATCTTTTCGAACTAATATAATATAGTTGTTTACTGAAAATAAAAAATATATTCCATAGGTCAATTATTATTTCTTTTTTTCAAAAAACAAAATGATTTTTTTTGTTTTCCCTTTTCCTTGGTGTCAAAATGATGTCCAATAACAAACATTATCACCATCCATAAGGTTCCGGGGACTGAGCACAGTGGAGCAGAGTGGCTGAGAAGATGATCACCGCCACCAGCATGGCCACCGGTGGTAGCAGCTCCGTCTTTCTCTCCGTCCCAAAACTACCATCCCAAAAGTTGCAAATTTTATCTCACAAACAAGTCTTTTTCACAAACAAAAAGTGGTCTACATTGCCCTTTCTCTGTTCTTCTTCAACTCCACTTGTAGAAGAAGAAAATGGGTCGACTGACGATGTCCTTCCAGCTTCGATAAATGAAGAATCTAGTTCAGTTTTACCTCCCGGGTATGCTCAATTTTTCTGCTTTGCAAAATTTAATTTCTTGAAAATTATCCCCTTTTGGGGAAATTTGCAGCTAAAGCCTTTGCATCTGGAATGTTAACAAGTGTTAGAAATTTATATTGCTAAAGATGTGATACTTTTTATTTATTAATTTTTGTCTTAGAACAGACCTTTGTCTCTTTTACCTTTTTGATTATCCATAAATTACAGAGGACCAGTGACATACTGTTCAAAGCTTGGTGTATAATTATCGTCTTTACAACAGACGTCTCTCTCAACTATCAAGTTCATTTGTGCTACTATTTGGTCCAAAAGCTTAATATTGAATAAACAGTTAACGAAACTCTCGCTTAAGTTGGACAAATCGGTTACCTCTCCTGTGTTGGTTTGTGACCTATTGCATAGGAGCGGGGGTTTGTATCCCTTGTTATCAAAAAAATATACTTGGATTAGATGTTTCAGTCTTGAGAGATCGTAGTTCCTTTCAAACCATAGAATGTGTTTCAGTCTTGACTATGATTTTGTTTTACGCTATTTCATTCAAGTGGTTGCTGATATAAACGAACATATTCTGCAATGTTAATGAATTGAATTTGATGTGTTTACAGAGCATGTAAGGGTTGTGGGAGATTGGAGATTGAAAGTGGTTGTAATGGCGAAGGACGGATACAAGGAGGGATTGCAACAATTCCAGGGTTTGGTTGGTGGCCAATCAAGGCTTACAGGCCGTGCCCTGCGTTTGTTGCTTCTGGTGGTAGGTACAAAAGGTTTGGACAAAGCATGGATGAAGTTGTCTCTGGGAAAGGAGGTAGAGTTAGTACTGTCGGAACTGACGTTGAGGTTCAATCAAGGTAAATATCTATTTAGTCTATTTCCGCTCTTTTCATCTCTTTGTGCTTAGCAATTGTCGACTATCTGGTGATATAATGAGGAGTTTAACTTGAAATTATTAGTACAAGATACTTGCTGATGGATAGCGGAATGATAAAATGGAAATAGTCATTACACTAGCCGAGGGTCTTTCTGAAATAGCCTCTCTACCTTCACGAGGGATAAGGTTATGCATGCACTCTACCCTCCCAGACCCACCCATGGGATTTCACTGGATATGTTATTACTGTTGTAATCTGTCATATCATATCAGAAGATCTGAACGATAACCAAATCTCACACAAGCAGCCGTGAAACACTGTTTGGATCAAACGCGCTGCTACTTCATTCTACTGATTGTCTAAGCATAGCCTAAATGACTTAAAAACGTCAAAAACTACTACTCAATCCCAAGCAAGTTGGAGTCTATGTCCATGTTGCTCCATTCAAGTTCGTCCCAGTCCATTATTATACTGTTATGAGCTCTCAAGTACTTGAGAGAACTTCAAAGCTAGTAAACTCATAACTTATGCTTTTCATCTTATATCAAACTTTGCAGCACGAAAAAGAACAGAACGAAGAGATCGAAGAGCTAACTGTTGGAATGTAATTTCAAGAGATTGGAGGTTGTTTGGCTGAGCACGGAGTTTAAGCTACTAACTTGGCAGTTTCCTCGTCTCTCTATAGGTTTTTTGGTGATAAAAACTTGAATTGCGTGTATTTATACAAATCCCAAATGGTTATTTGTGTTAGCAATTGTAATCAAGATGAACTATGTTGTTTTATTTCCAACTATACTATTTAGTTTGTTACTGGTCAAGACTTCACCCGTGAAATTATACTAGCTATGTTGTTGTTAGTTTGCACTTGGCAAAACAAGTACACTTGGATCATCTATTAAATTTTTTGGGGAGAACTTATGTAGGTCGGATTTTTGCTTGAAAGACGGTACAAATTTTTAAAAATGATATAGAGTGAGATCACAATTTATCGAATTAAAGTGAATTTCTCCTTTAACTAAAGGGTAAAACTATATAAATAAAAAATTAGAATGATAGAGTATTTGGTACTCCCTTTCCATTTTATGTTCCACTATCTAATTGCAAAATATTCATTTTTATTTGTTTAATTTAAGTAGTTAAAGTCACGTAATTTCTAATTTATTGTATTAATATTAATTATAGCCATTTTTAAATTGATGTATGGCTTTTTTCAAATATCAAATAATTATATATAATCAAAATAATATAATAAACAAATAAAAATAAACGGAAACATGCAATAAATGTAATCATAAAAACCTAAATAGAGCGAGTGTTTTCATCTACTTCCCCAATTGAGCGAAATTCCGCCCCTGCAAAAAACCTTTTGAAATTCCACAACTTTCTCCGAAATGGATTCTGAAACTTCCAATGGAATCGAAGAAACGGTACTTGATATCCTCAAAACCTCTAACCTGGAAGAAGTTTCGGAGCAAAAAATCCGAAGAATGGCTTCAGAAAAGCTAGGTCTTGACCTATCCGAACCGACCCGGAAGAAATTTGTCCGGCAGGTGGTGGAGAAGTTCCTTGCTGAAGAACAAGCAAAACGTGAAGCAAATGCTGCTGATGAAGTGAAGGAGGAGGAGGAGGACGACGAGAATGATGAAGAAGAAGAGGACGGCAAAGTGAAAAGCAGCGGTGATAAGGAGTATGATGACGAAGGCGATCTCATCGTTTGCCGAGTGAGTTCTTATAACTGCTGTAATTCTGCTTTCTGAAATTCTCTTTACTGTTGTAGTTTTGGTTATCATCTGTTTGGTGGAATGGTCCAGGAGGCCCATTGTACTTGGTTTCGATTGTCATTTGGACATTTTAAACTCATTTCTCATCCGATCAGTGTGTGTACAACAACCGATTACACATGGAAGAAGAAAGATATTTTTTTTTCTTTTTGTTGAACTAAACAATTTTCTATTTGGATTATGATTTATGAAAATTTTAAATTTTAAGCACCTGCAAGATGAGAAAGTGATCAACTTTATGAGTTTTTGCTTACTTGTACTTGAAAGATGATGGAGGTGGATTATCTTCTTTTCTTACAAAAACAAAAATGATTGATTAATAGTTAATAGAAGAAAGACGAATATAAGAAGAGCTTGAAAGTCTATATTGGCTGACATGATGGAACTGATGCATTAATCCTAGTACTTGGAACTCGGTCATTAGAGTACTTATTAGGGCTTATCATAATGTGATGTGAAATGTTTATTGTTTTCTGTTGCTTTATTTCTGCTGAGATAATGTATCTCGATGTCCCTCTTTTGGGTTGATAAAAAAATATATTCTTGATGTTTTTCTGGGAATTCAATGTAGTTGTCGCAAAAGAGAAGAGTGACTGTTACTGACTTTAGGGGAAAAACTCTGGTGTCGATAAGAGAGTACTACAGCAAAGAGGGCAAGGAGTTGCCTACTTCTAAAGGTAATAATCATTTTATTAGATTTTTTATCATGAATTTGCATACAAAAGTTCATGTTTTCTCATTTGAAATAAGCTCAAGTGATTGGCTGACTGCTATAGTTAGAAATGAAGTCTGTTGAAAAATTTTAAATCATAGATGTAAAGCAAATTCTTTATGCACTGAGAAGTTAAATCGCGCCATGCTTGTGGTTTGGATCACTACAACGAGAAAATGTACATTTCTGTATTGCTTGGTCTTAAAATGTTCAGCTATTAGTTATCCATCATAATCCTGCTCTGAATTGCATTTCCTATGTTATATGGGGCAGAAAGAACTTCACTGAAGAATTTTATCACTTGCTGGCTTTTTGTTTATATTCTCTTTGCCCAAAGTTTATCTCTTAAAAGGTATAATTAGCTTGTTGTACCACGACCTTGATACATGTGTGCTTTTATGCCCTTTAAGGTAGAATGTGGCGAATGAATTCACCTGCAAACAGTTTTCATATTAGTGCTCAACTATCTCTCTCCTCTTCCCCCCCCCCCCCCCCCCTCCTTCCTCCCAAAAAGAAAAGGAATTTCATGTTACCTAAACATGATTTTATTGGCCTCCTCTACTGCTGTCACTTGATAAAGTCAAGAGACAATAATAGCAAGAACAGAACTTCGCTGATTATAAGCACTTTCTGCACTTTGTGTTCAATAAAGAAGAATTTAAAGGTTTTTACCTTGAGCGCTTCTTCCTATTTTTTGGCAGTTTATATAAAAAATAAAATAAGTCGTAGAGTGAGTGCTTCTGCCCTTTTTTTTTTTTAAAGCCACTTCAGGGAATATTGTTGTATGGTGTCTCGAAAGCTATCTACATTCTGCTCTTTTAGTTGTTTATTTAAAGAGATGGCTACTTTCTTGCATTGTCTGGTGGTTTTAGCTGATTCAAAAGGAACCTTTTAGATTGTTCCCCATCTACTTGATATTATCTGTCATTTCATCTCTATCTTTGTCCATCTAACATGTCCACCACTGTCTGCAATGAAGGTTTTTGCCACATCTATGTTCCTCTATCCATATGTTATTCAACTCCATCATATGGAATTAACAGTGGTCCCACCATCATAGCTAATTATATCATGTTGGGAACTAACTTAATCAGAAGATACAATTTTCGGAAGTAAAAAATGAAAGATCTTGAGACTTCTTCATTTTTTCTGGACTCCATTTGGTTAGTAAGAAAACATCAGTTATTAATCTTGAGACCAGCATTTGTTTAAAGCATCCAATAAGTGTTTCTGACCACACACAACAACCAAAAAGAAAAAGTTTTTTTGAGGGGAAAAGGTTAGACTGGTTATCTGCAAGGAACTTATGGGCCATTTATTGGACCACCTAGATATTTTGCTTTCTGATCTTTTGTTGAATGTACAACTACTGCTGCTGGTGCTGGTACCTCTCTCCTTTTCTCTTTTATTAATCATAAGCGGTGTTAGACTTAGCCAATGAATGATACGGATGATGGTGGTACTGATGATTTGTTTGGGATGCCAAGAAGGGCTTTTTGTTAGAAGTAGGTGCTTGATTTTTCATTTGAAACTAATAATTGCCCGGATTTATGGTATTTTATGCTGTTCTATAAGATGTTGTCTTATATTCCTCTGAGTTCCACTATCGGAACTTTCACCTTGTTAGTGAGGGTTCGGTTCCCCACTTCGTAATCCTTTTCCCCCTGAATTCATCCAAAGATGAAATCGCAAAGGGTAAAAATAACAATAGGACCACTTCTTCTGATACTTATTGTATCCCCTGCAGGGATAAGTTTGACAGCTGAGCAATGGGCAACTTTCAAGAAGAATATTCCTGGAGTTGAACAAGCCATCAAGAAAATGGAGTCGAAGGCTTAGTTTAGTTCTTGATTTCGGTTACATGCAGTAAACTATATTTGAAGACTTAAAACACTAGGAGACATGTTTTTTTGGGTAAATTGGTTTAACTTTTGGTTAACATGCAGTATTATGCCTGCTCTCTTGGCTAATACAGATTTTCTCTAATTTGAGGCATTTGGTTTCTTTCTGGAAACACTAAACAAAACCTTCTATGATTTTACATGCTTTTCGGCCCCGTCTCTGAAAAATAGTCATTGTCATGGCGTTTCAAATACCACCGGTGAAATATTATGACAAATCGTTGAATTTGAACTTCACAAACACTAGTTGATAAATCGTGCTTATTATCATCGAATTTCACATGAAATTTGAAATTTTTGAGCCAGTAATTGTTTTTCGTATTACAGGGGCTGGAAAATGACTTTGTGTTTCAAAGGTAGAGTTTGAAACTTCATGACGATAGTTATTTTTTCGGGGTTGAAAAATAGAATTTTATTATTTCTTGCTCTATCGTTTATTTCATCCAACTAGTCTGTAGCTCTGTGGTCAAAGGCTAAATTAACTATCAGTAACCTTTACTAATAGTCAAATTAGTACTTAATTAATGACCAAAAGAATTTTTTTAAAAAAAAAAATGATGAAGAATCGACTATAATTTTTAGATAGTTTTGTATTATAATCGATTTATTCAACTCCTATGGTTAAGCGTTACGATACACCTAGACTACAAGCTCAATGTTCGATGAACTTATAAGTCATTGTGTGTTGTAATATTGATAGTTATTGCGTTACATTATATTACACATTTGCAACCATTAATCGTATGGACAAATAATGTTTCTGGTTGATATTGATTGAAGAAAATAAAGTAGGCCATAGGATAATTTTGACATTTTGTTTATGTGGTCTAAAATCTAAATGACACTAAAAGAAAGTAGTATATTTGTGGTTAGGTGCTATATTCCAAAATGTTTATTTAAGCACATAAAGTCCAAATACCATTATAACAGGATGGCCCTCTTGTGTCCCTTTGCCACCACATGCCAAATTTAGCACTATTTCAATGCCTACTTTATCTAACAAGGGCAAAAATTTAAGGCGGTAGGAGCAGATTGTGTTTCAATCGTGTAGATTTTATATTTATAGTGAAAAATTTATTAAATATATAATAATTTAACTGTAGAAATGAAATATGCGCAAGTTTTTTATTATCTATCCGAAGTGTAGGCAAGTTTTTTGGTAAGAGAAAAATATTTACTTGAAAAAATTTGAGTTATTTATTTGTTTTCTGATATTTTTATATATAAGAAGAAATTACAGTATTATTTTAATATAATATAAGCAAAAGAAGGGAAAATCAGTTGAGAATGTTGCTTAGGAAACTTTATTGTCATATTTTCATTATGAAAAAGAGAAAAAACATTTCTCTTTATATCAAAATTCAAAAGTTCCATCCACAATTAGAGTTACATTACTTTTCAATTCATTTTATTTCCTCATGGTTAAGGATAATTGATGAAGAGTAACAATGATAACATATATATGCCACGTGTCCTCTTAAGATCCATTCATCCAAAATCTTGTCTAAATTCTTAATTGGTTGTCTAAATACCAATTGGCAATACCAAACACCACATATATCATTTTTAAAATACCAAACTACTATCCATATGTACTCCTCCTAAGTTAGTTCCATAGCATAACTTAGAAAAAACTTCAAAAAAAAAAAAAAACATATTTCATTGAAATTCAAAGTAAATTTTTTCAAGTATGGGTTGTGCCTCATCAAAGAGAATAAAGGTTGCCATCGACGTCTACCGTCCTCCGCCGACGAGCTTCGCCGTCTTCGATATCAACTCCATTGAAGAACCATGGCTCAAAAGTGCAAACAACAACAACAAGGTATTGTTAGTTTACAACTTATCAACTTTCAAACACAAAAGAGTAGGAGTGATAAACTAATAAGAATTGAACATTGCTCCCTTAATCTCAAATTATTTGTCGTGATTTTTATAAATAGGTGTCTCAAGATATAATTAGTTTTTCGTTTTATCTTTAATAGTTATTATTTTTTAAGACTATAAATAATTCACAAGAATAAATATTTAATGGAAGAGAGATTATTATATCTTAATACTTAAATAAAGGTAAATGGTTCAAAAATCTCTTTAATATTTTTAAAAAATGTGTAAATAAGAAATAAAACAGATAATTTGGAACAGAAGGAGTATTTGTTATTGTAAAGGTTTTGCCTATATTAAGCTTAAAACGTCGCATACAGTACATAACTTTTATATATACATAGATATTCTAGTTAATTTTGTATTGTATTGAATAATCCCTAGAAATTTGATATTTGTTTCATTTCCTAAAAGATATTACTATGTTAAAGCATTTATAAATACAATTGCTGTCCCAAATCAAACGTTAGTGGACTAGAATTTTAAAAAAGAACACTGATTATGTGCGTATGGACTATAGTATGATGTTTTCTTAATTTGAAAGACTATTAATAATTTTATGTATATTTTTAAATTTAATTTATTATCTTGATAATTTAATTTGACATGATATATTTATATTAAAATTAGGTAGAAGAAAATGAGTTGGATCAGGACGAGCTAGACGAAGATGAGAAGCCAATAAAAGTAGCACAACCAATTCTAGAAAAACTCAACACTTCTATTGATGATTCTCCAAAATCATGGGATGAAGTTAGCAAAGCTTTAGAAGATTTAAAACCCACTCTACAAAACCCACCACCACAAAAATCACCTAAAAAACCCCTCCTTGCCCTACCGGCGCCGCCTCCGCCGCCATCAGAGGCGGCGGAAGACGGCGACGGTTCACCAAAAAGAAAAATTCCAAGAAAGAGTTTTTCCTTTCATACCCTTGAAGAACTTGAATCCAAATTATCATCAAAAGATGCCAAAAAGAACAATGAAGTGATCAAGAAAAATGAGGAAAATAAAAAATTCCAACGATTCAATAAAAAAAATGATACACAAATTGCTGTTCATAATGGGGAAGTAGAACATCAAAGGACTCACTCAGATGAAGGGTACAAGCCAGTAAAAGAGAATATATTTTTGTTGAGGGACAAAATGGAAAGGGAAAAAGAAGGGAAAGTTCCAAATTTTATAAAGTTTAACCCTTTAAGTGACTACCCCGAAAAGTGCCCGCCACGTGGCGATGACTCATTGGTCATCTACACGACGTCGCTAGGTGGCGTGCGTCGTACGTTTGAGGATTGTAATAAGTTGAGGTTAATTTTGGAATCCCATAGGGTGGTTTTCGACGAGCGTGACGTGGCATTGCATGGCGAGTTTCGTCAGGAGCTGAAGGAGTTGCTTGGAGATGGGGAGGACGCGGGAGTACCGCGGTTGTTTGTGAAGGGGAGGTACATTGGTGGAGTGGAGGAAGTGGTGCACCTGAACGAGACGAAGAAACTCGGGAGGATATTGAATTGGGCTAGGGTGGAGAGGGGTCTGGGGAGGTTAGGATGTGAAGGGTGCGGAGGTGCTAGGTTTGTGCCATGTTTTGATTGTGGAGGGAGTTGCAAAGTTGTGAATGGGGATGTTAAGGAGAGATGTCCTAAGTGTAATGAGAATGGTTTGATTCATTGCCCTATTTGCAATTGAATAATTGTTATGTATTATTGTACGCATACATTAAATCAATGAATACATAGTGATGTTGTTACTTTGTGAAGTCGCTACGAACTTAGTATAGGTACCTACATTCTCAATATGAATATATGCAACTAATTTTGCATATATATAGTTTTTGTTATTGGATTTTGTATACTTTTTTTCATGGTTTGATAATTCAGTTATATGGAAAATGTGAAGTTTTTAATCGAATGATTTGCATTATGTATAGTATACCGTTTAGTTTTTTGAGGAGGTTTAGTTGAACCCCTTGCGCTTTCTCGTATTAGCGTCTCAACAATAAGGTAAGAAAATAAATAGAGGGTGAAAAGGATTTTATCGGGTTTGAACCGATGACCTTTTGATTTGTCGTATTTTTCTTAATAACAAAGAAATACGATTTTTATTTTAGTAAAGCTCTTAATTTCCTTGTGAAGGAAAAATAGAATGAAATTAGGAAAACAGTGGCCTGATATTGAATTTGGTTCAATTCTTCAGATTTTTTCTGAAACAATTTTAGCATTGAGCATATAATACAGTATAAACTTGACATGTCATCAAATTGGATTTAAAATTTAAAAATTATAAATTCCTGCGATAACCTTACGTCAATATACGTAAAAACTGAATTTATAATCAAATATATAAAAATATTTAGTAAATTCCTTAATATTAGACGAAAAATATAGAATTTTGAAAAACTCAACTTAGCGAACCCCCCCCCCCCTCCCCTGGCTGCCACCTAGCCTCCAATTGTGTATTAGTGATAATGCGCCAAACTCATTTATTAGGCCCAGCCTTGTGGGCTGAAAACTAGTGTAAATTTGTATAAATTATAGGAACCACATATTATAAATACAAAATGACCATTTATCCCTTTAAGAATTGAAATTACTAAAAATCCCTTAAAAAGCAAAGAACCGAGATACATCAGTCTGGCACGGGATACATAAGAACTGATACATCAAAGTTAAAGGCTGTTGCGATTAATTAGGGTTAATTAACGTGATTTCTGTTATTCTTAACTGAAATCACGTAATTAATGGTCATCAGATTGTGTAACGGATTAGTAGGGATACATCACTCTGGCAAGGGATACATCACTCTGGCACGGGATACATATTAACTGATACATCATAATTAAAAGGCTGCTGCGATTAATTAGGATTAATTAGCGTGATTCCTGTTATTCTTAACTGAAATCACGTAATTAATGGTCATCAGATTGTGTAACTGATTAGTAAATTCAAATTTTAAATCAGATTAGCTTCATAATTCAAAAATATTCGTGTAAAGGTTGATCTGCATACTAAGAATTCAAAAAAAAAAGGTTTTGAAGATAAATATCTCAATTCTGCTGCGGCATTCTGGAATTTGGGTAAGCAATATTAATTATGAAGGTTACAAAGTTGATGGAATTGTTGTTAGCCATTCTATTTCGTTTGTGAATCTGAAAACGTTGATTTTAGCAGAGCTTGAGATCGACAATGTTACAAAGGATATTGAAATACGATACATTGTCGAGGGAAGCTCATGTCCGTTGAAAATCAAAAACGACATGGGTGTGAAACTTTGTTTTGAAGTGAAAAAGAATGCAACTGGAATTGGCATGTATCCGCTTTGTATTGATACAACTGATAAAATTGTTGGGGATATACGTAATTTTGACTGTTCATCAGGTGAAGTCATATGTGTGGAAGGTACCGAAAGAGATACTGAAGCTCTTGCTCTGGTCGAGTCTAGAATTTGTGACTTTGCAGTTTAATTATGTGCCAAATTTAAACTCCAAATTTTATAAATAAATAGATTCAACAGTGGTGCGTTTTCAATGTAACAGTAATGATATAGGAGTTTGTTTGTGTATGTGATGTATCATATACATGAATATTATTGAAAAGATGTTATGTGTTCCGTGTATATTGTATTTTGAGATATTCAAGTGTACAAAAAATTGATTTGTTCAATTGTTTACTATATGATTCGTGTATACATACTTATGAGTTATAAATTTGATATATTATATTCAACAGTGTTTGGGTTTCAGTTTTACAGTAATTCAAGCTGGGCTTATTTGTAACCAGTTATGTATCAGATACATTCATTTTAGTGAAAAATATGTTATATTTTTCGTGTATACTCCATCATGAGTTATTCTAGTGTCCCAAAACTTGACTTGTTCAAATGTGTACGACATGTTTAGTGTGTACAGCCTTATGAACTGTAATTTTGATATAGTACATTCTAGTGGTGCGTTATACTGTAATAGTAATCAGGGTTAAGTTTGTTTATGTATATGATGTATCATATACATTCATATAATTCAAGTTGCTAAATATATAACTGCAATATTTTTTCAAGTATATATTATACTTATGTATCATATACATCATTTGTATAAAGTGAAAAAAACTTAATAATGTATCATACACATTAGAACTTAAGTGTAATATACTTCAGTTTGTAAATTAGCTGTCAAAATAACTTAAAATGAAACACTAAAAAATTTGTAAAGCAACAACTGTTTCTAAAAAAATAACTTGAAAAAATATAACATTCATAACTAATAAAATATTGTAATACCAATAAGCTTTTAGAAAAACACAAAAGATAATTGTCTTCAACACAAAACAACATATAAACTTGTTCATCCTGTCCCAGCTACGTATAATAAGTTACACAGTTGATGTAACTTTTCTTGGCCTTTTTTTCTTGATTTCTTCAGTCTTCTTCTTTGGCTCATCATTGTTGTTCTTCATCAACAATGGGTCATGCAATCGCTTAGATCTATTCTCAGCCCACAGCTCATCATCAGAATCATACACACATTTGAAATTACCACACTCTTCCATGATATTTGTAAACTCACACAATGAATTGAATGAATGAGAAAATCTAGTTAGATGGAAAGATAGTCCTACAAAATAACAAATAGATATGGATGAAAATTTGAAGGGAATTCAAAATTTACCTGCAAGTGGAATGGGGAATTAAAAGTAGAAAAGGAATAAAAATTAGTAAACTCACACGATGAATAAGCTGAAGGAGAAAATTTGGTAGATGGAAAGAGAGTCCTAGAATATCAAATAGATATGGATGAAATTTTAATTGGAATTCAAAATTAACCTGCAAACGTGTGGAATGGGGAATTAAAAGTAGACAATTATACACCTACAATGTAGGGAAATAAAAAGGAAAAGGAATAAAAATTAATATGGTAAATTTTAATTGGGGATGTTAATGGGGAAGTGGGTAGCTTAAAAATAGGATTTAGTTTTTGGTAAAGTAAAACTTGCCAATTGGGTGAAAAAAAGGTGGAAAATCTTGATGTATCTTTTATATTTTTTTGAATTGGGGGAATAAGGGATTTTTGAAATTTTTAAAATAAGTTGGGATAAATGGTTATTAAGATAATTAAAGTAGTGTATTTAAGTAATTTTTCCTGTAAATTTTTGGGCAACTTTCACATGTAACAAACAAAAAAATCATATTTGTATAATATAGCAAACTTTGCATAATTGTGCTCTATAGCAAACATAAAAACTGTATAATTCGCTATACATATAAAAGTGTATAATTCGCTGGCCTAAATTGTATAATTCGCTGGCCTATTTCGCTGCAATTGTATAATTAGCTTTGCATACAGTTGAATCGAATTAAAATGTATGTATATTGCATAATTATAAGTGTATAGCAAGAAGATATATGTTTTTCTCGCTTTATACAAAAACAGAAACACAATATATACACTTCTGTTGTATAAAGCTAGAAAAAATTGTATTTCACTGCAATTGTATAATTCACAATTGTATAATTCTTTGGTCTTTTTCTCTGCAATATTTAAAGTAAAATGTTTGTAATTATATAATTAAGTGTATAACACGAAGATATACATTTTTGCATGTGTATATACAATTTTCTCTCGCTTTATACAAAACAGAAACAGAAATTATATACTTCTGTGTATAAAGCGAGAGAGGCGAGAATGGGAGAGTGGCGAGCGAGACTTCTGGGAGAGAGACGCCTGGCAAATTTTTTCCAACGTTTGCTATGGAGCACAATTAAATCAAACTCTAGCTATTCCATTTAATTTAGGTTATTAGTTTGCTATTTTATACAATTTTCCCTAAATTTTTTTCTCTTTTATTGCTCCCTCCGTCCAGAAATATTTGTCTTGTTACGCTTATCAAAAGTTAATTTGACTAATTTTTAAAGGTAAATTAGATCACATTAATTTGATATTTTAAACAAAAAAAAATAGATATTCTAAAACTATATGAAAAGTACTATAAATTACAATTTTTTCATATTAATATGATGAAAAAAATGCATCTTAAAATGTTAGTCAAAGTTTTTATAGTTTAACTCTAAAAAATAGAAATCATGACAAACATTACCGAACGGATGAAATAATATATAAAAAAAAATCATAAATTCGTATTAATGACTTTAAATAGTGATAAAAGCGCAATAAGTAATTTTTTAAAGTTTTTGCTTTTAATTTACGTTAGACAAAGTTATCTTAACTTGAGACATACACTTCATATGATGAAATATAGGGACACTCAAGTTAGGGACATTAATAATATTATATGTGAGACAACTCAAGTTAAAAAGAGAATCTTTAAGTAGTTTTGCGACTTTTTTTCGATACGAATGTATTAACAAAAAGTTTAATATTTAAGTGAAAATTTTTTTAAAAAACAAACAAGCTTGTTATCAACTAATTTAAATCTCAAACCATTGATTTTTGAAAATATTAGATTATTAAAAAGGTATCTTTTAGGAATTACATTAGAGTATATACCAACAATGTGAGTGTTGGCAAATACATGAACTTGGTCCATTTTCATTAATAAAAGAATACTATTAAAGTGCATTAATTAATAGGCCATTCTAGACACTTGTAAAGTTTGTCACGTTATGAACAATATATCCAATTTATTAACAAAGGGTAATTCAAAAAAAAATTAAAAATTTAGAATTTTATCACCGACAAAACAATTACATACTTTTAACATTTTCTTTTTGGTTTGATGATACAATTTTTTCCTTAGATTATTTATATATTATATAATTGGTTATTGTGATATATAATTAAATATAAAAAAAAGGAACTTTTAGTTTATTGAAATATGCACTTTCAATCCATTCATTCCTTTCCATCCAAACTCCGAAAACTTTATTTTGAGTCAAAAATCTATTTAAAAATTTCCTTTATTTCATATTTATAAATTACATTAAATGTGTTATTATTGTTATTGTTTATTGTGGGTTCCATATGTCTTCCTAGTTATATTTGTAATTTCTTTTGCATTTTGTTGGGATCATTGTTACCCATTATTTCATATTGTATTGTATTTTATTGTACTGTATTGTATAGAAGATACAATATTTAGTTAGACTGTATTTTTTGTTGTATAATAACATTTTAATTGTTTGATTTGATCGTGCATAATGTATTGTAATTTATAAATTTACTAAAATATCCTAATTATTTTAGGGTATGAGGTTTGACTTGATTTAAATAATTGAGATTAAAGGTAAAATAGTATTTTCAAATATTATGTAAATATATAATTGAGAAAAGAAATTAAGTAACAATAGGAACACACCAAATTGGTTATTCCATAAATTATGAATTTTCATTGTTATGTAACAAGAAATTTAACAATACAACACATTTTAAGTAACAATTGAAACAAATATTATAGATATAGTAACAATACAATACTATACAATGGATAACAATGATTCAAACATAATGTTAGTAAAAGTTATATTGAGCATATTGATAGATTTTAATAAGATTACAACACAAGAAATAAAAAAAAATCATTCATATACGAAGTAAAACACAAAATTAATACATAATATTAAAAAGAAAAGTACACAGAAAAATCTCATCAACTTCACATGTTCATCTTTAAATTGGTTTTGTTAAACGACCAATCTACTTAATCTTAGAAAAATGTGTAAATTACTAAATTATCATAAGGAAAAAAGTAATAATTACCTAATAAGAATTCTAATTGTAGAAATTTCTTTGGAATAAACTTTTAAATCAAATGCTAGGGTCAACTACCACCAAAGTCTCTTTTATTTGGAATTGACACATAAAAATAAATATATTATTTTATATCACCAAAGACTTGGTCAATTTTTGCAAATGAAGTGCCGTGAAGGAACAGTTGAACCATTTTTTTCTTTTGGTTGTGACATTTCAACAAGTTTATAATTAAATTTGAAATAATCAAACTTTTTGTTCAATTATTCCACAACCAAATACATTAATTTTTTCATGTAATTTCTTTGAAACAATAGATCCTTTACTATGTTGACAATTTCTTGCAGCCAATCTTGTGACTATTAATGTTTGAGTTCAAATAATCGTTGTTTTCACATAATCATCATCTACCCAAAAAAAAAATTTTTTTTTCTTCCTGATCGAAATCTTAGAAACGTACTTTATGTACTTTCCACGGATAATAATACATCTCCATTTCTCATAATATTTTAATTATATTACAAATCTAAATTCAAATACGAAAAAATAAGTAAAGAAACCTCTTTTTTTTTTCTTTCTAAAAAACAGGATTTTCGATTTTTCTTCATACCAAACACACCCTAAATCTCTCAAAACAATAAACCCTATGCTTGTATATGAAAAAATCATGAGGCCCTATACAAACCAAAATCAGTCGATTTTCAATACAAGTATGAAAAAATCTTGCATAAAAGGCACCATCGCCACCCAATACAAACAGAAGATAAGTGAAAAATCAAAAACATAAGGCATTCTAGATAGAGCAAAGAGGAAACAATAGCTATTAATAACCAAACATTATGATCCATAACATAAATATAACTTGTTTTTTACTCATATTTCACTTATTATTATA